TCTTATTTATCCCTTTCCTAATGATTCCCAATGTTCTGTTAACTTTTTTGATTGTCACTGCACATTGAGCAGATGTTTTCAGAGAACTATCCACAATGACTCCAAGATCTCTTTCTTGACAGGTAACACCTAATTTAGACCTCATTATTTTATATGTATAGTTGGGATTATATTTTGCCATGTGCATTACTTCACGTTTATCAACATTGAATTTCATCTGCTATTGTGCTGCCCAGCCACTCAGTTTTGTGAGATCCTTTTGCAACTCTTTGCAGTCAGCTTTGGACTTAATTATCTTGAGTAATTTTGTATCATTTGCAAATTTTGCCACCTCACTGTTTACTTCTTTTTCCAGATCATTTACGAATATGTTGAACAGTACTGGTCCCAGTACAGACCCCTGGGAAATGCCACTATTTACTTCTCTCCATTCTCACCATTTATTTCTACCCTTTGTTTCCTATCTTTTAACTGGAGTGCCTGGCACAACTTTCAGGATCATCCAACTATCCTTAATTTAATTTAATTTAATTTAAGGGCAAGTCTTTTGTTAACTTAATCACCCTGCCTCTGTTTATAAACAAACTCCCTGCCCAAAAGGCAGAAGCTGGGAGCAGCACAGAACTCATCACATATCACACTCAAGCTGTATTGCAGTTGAGAGCTCCCTCTGGGGCTACGGCATGTGTTGTGAGCAGACCTCAGGTACAAAACTCATGGGGGAGAGGGGCTAGAGCCCTCCCATCCCCCCAAATGGTGCTCCGACTGCTGTGGTGAAATGATTTTGTGAAAACTGGCCACTTCATTTAGGTGCCTAAATGGAAACTGAGCTATTTTGAAAATCTGTACCCAATTGTACATGCTGAACACTTACAAATCTGGACATAAGGTCAGACAGGAAATAGAAGAGACACAGATTCCAAAACATTCCTAAACTTGTAGCTAAGTTCAGAGGTGAAAAGTACAGGCCAACAACACTAAAAACTAAAATCCTCTATTTATACATATGTAACCCTTCTGCCCATCTGAGTTGGCAGCAACAAGGGCCGGATTCAGTATCCAGGGGTTCTGTTTCAATAACGCAATGCAAAACCGGCTCGAGCCCCCACCCAGTGACAATTACATACCACTCCCTGGGCGCCTCTAAGAGACAATACTTCCCCTCTCGCAAGCACGGAGTCTGAATGTAGCAGAAAATGTTTAATAACATGAGGTAAACGACATCAGCATTAAATTGGGAAAACACCACAAACAGGATTCATAACACAAACCATGAGCAAAAGACCCACCCCCAAAGTCCCAAAAGTCCAACACCCCAAAAGTCTCTTGAGTCCAGCAACCCAAGAATCACCCAAAAGTCTCTGTCCCTGGTCAGTGCAGCCCCAGAGTTCAAAAGTTTATCTGCAGATTCTTACCCCCCCACCCAGCCTGGGTGGAAATGGGGGGGGAGAAAGGGGCACGCAGGGTATTAAGGGGCACCTTACGTGGTCCGAGGCCAACTGCCCCACCTCTCTATGGGGTTCTGCTGCAGCCTTCACCACGAGCTGCTCCGCTCCTCCAGTTGTCCTGTGGGCCGCACCAACCGTCCCACAAACTGCTCTGCTCCGCTCCACTCATCATCCTGTGTGCCGCACCAACCGTCCCGCAAACTGCTCAGCTCCGCTCGCCATCCCGTGGGCCACGCCAACCATCCCGCAAACTGCTCTGCCAGCCACTTAGCAATAAATCTTCAGGCTCCCCCACTAGTTAACACAGCACTCAGTGATTTCAGCTTGTAGTAGGGGAGCCCTAGTGCTGGTGCATCATTGGCCCAAAGTGAATTCAGCATAGCAGCCTGTAACTAGACTCCTAATAGAATCAAAATTAGCTCTGCTATTCAACAGTGGAGAGAGGAGGTGCAATTGGTGTTTCAGGCCCTCAAGAGGGACCCATGCCATCCAGTACAGATACCTGTCCCCAACCTCTCTCAATTCACTGAGTTTTGGAGCCCATGTCCCTTGTCTAGCGAGTGCTACTTAGGTGATGGTGAGACCCTCTGTCATAAAACAGTTTCATTGTCCTTGATTCACATAATCAGGGTAACAACACTTTATTCCTCCTGCTCCAATAACAGAGAAATTGGGGATCCCACAGCAGCCAAAGTGACCATTTTGGGCTGCCGTGGGCTCAGGCTAGGCGGGGTGGGTGTGCCTGCGCAAACAAGATTAGCCCCTGAAGTTCTTTTCCACACTCGCCATAATTCACCACCAGATGTCAGGGTAGAGCTCATCCTGACTCTGTCTACACATAGAAGTGCTCAGATGCCATCCAATGGTCCAGGGACATCTACATCGAGCACATCACCGGCCACCGACAGTACCAGGAGGCGTGAGCCAGAGTGACATCGTTCTCCCACTACGAGAAAGGGACCAAGTGACCTTCTCCGTTGGATCATATGAACTGGAACCATAACTCCCTGAACATTAAATCTCATCAAATGAGGGTCAATCCATCCTCATCATGATATCCACTCATTATACTCCACACCTGAACATAGCCACTCTACGAACTTCATACCCTCATATCTCAATGCCTGTACTTTGACACATCAACCTTTTACCCCCAATCGGGGATATTGCAGATTATGTATTCCTTACGCTACCGGATCTTAAACCAAACTTTGCACCCTCGATAATCTGTACGTTATTCCCTGATAACCAGAAACTTCTATGCTCAAATTCTGTTCACTATTTTTTTTTTTAACATCACCTTAATAAAATTTTTAAATAGTGCTAACTTGCTCCACTGCTCTGTCATTATGTTCCTACCTAGACCTGGAATGAAGACCATTTCAAGGGGAAGGAAGGCAGTTAATTTGTGTGGCCTCCTGGCCAATATTGACAACATGGGAGATAGTTAACACTAATGCTGTTGGTTCTGGTGATGTAAACACTTGCTCCCTAAGGGCACGTCTTCACTACCCGCCAAATCGGCGGGTAGCAATCGATCTATTGGGGATCGACTTATCGCGTCTAGTGAAGACGCGATGAAATCGATCCCCGATGGCTCTTCCGTCGACTCCGGAAATCCACCGCGGCAAGAGGCGGAAGCGGAGTCGACGGCGGCACGGCAGCGGTCGACTCGCCGCCGTCCTCACAGCCAGGTAAGTCGACCTAAAATACGCCACTTCAGCTACGCTATTCACGTAGCTGAAGTTGCGTATCTTAGGTCGACCCCCCCCCCCCGTAGTGTAGACCTACCCTAAGATCAACAGGTAGGTCCAAAGAAAAATTCATTCTGAATATTAGGGATATCTTTATGATGTTGAGATGGTTTAGATCAGAGGCGGGCAAGCTGCGGCTCGTGGGACCCTCTTGCCCGGCCCTTGAGCTCCTGGCCGGGGAGGCTAGCCCCCGGCCTCTCTCCTGCTGTCTGCCCTCCCCCGCAGCCGCAGCTCGCCATGCCACCAGAGCTCTGGGCAGCGGGGCTGCAAGAGCCACCAGCCTGCCCCGGTGCTCTAGACTGTGCGGTGGCATAGCTGGCTCTGGCCGGGTGGCGCAGCTGCCAGTCCTGGTGCTCTGAGCAGCATGGTAAGGGGGCAGGGAGTGTGGGGGTTGGATAAGGGGCAGAGGGTCTCAGGGGGCAGTCAGGGGACAGGGAGCAGGGGGTGGTTGGATGGGGCAGAGGTTCTGGGTTGGGAGTGGTCAGGGGACGGGGAACGGGGGGGTTGGATAGGCATAGGCGTCCTGGGGGGCTTGTCAGGGGGCGGGGGTGTGGATAGGGGTCGGGGCAGTCAGGGGATAGGGAGCAGGGGGGGTTGAATAGTGGGTGGGGCTCCAGGGGGGCAGTTAGGGGCAGGGGGTCCCGGGAGGGGGCAGTCAGGGGACAAGGAGCAAGGGGGATTGGATAGGTCAGGGGTTCTGAGGGGGGCAGTCAGGGGGCAGGAAGTGGGAGAGGGCGGATGGGGGCGGGGGCCAGGCTGTTTGGGGAGGCACAGCCTTCCCTACCCAGCCCTCCATACAGTTTCAGAACCCCGATGTGGCCCTCAGGCCAAAGTTTGCCCACCCCTGGTTTAGATAATAGTTTCTTCAATGGAAATGTGGGCAAGCCCCATCACCTAATATATTTAAAATCATACCAGACAAACTGATAGGAATATAAAATAGAAAAGAAGTTTGGCAAAGAGACTGACTGATTTCTGATAGTCCTAGAGAATGAAATCCCCTATCAGCGCAGCCTTTCACCAGTGCTAAAGCATTTATTTACTTGTTGGCTGCTGGTCACTAGGTGGTGCTGTTGGCTCACATGTTGACTACAACTGAAAAAGACATAATTTTTTTTAACCCGCTGTACTGCAGAATCCCATTGCAGCAGGAAATCAATGCCTTTGAATATGGCTTATACCTGCCCCAGATTGTCAAGTGCAGAGTGCACCACATCTGCACCTTACAGAACATTTTCCACTATGGTAAGAAAATTGAAATAATTCAATACAGTCGCCATCAAGCACTATACAATTCTCACTGTAATAACACATACAACTTCTTTACAACAGAGAGAGGATTAAAACAGCTTTCTTTCTGGGACAATTTTGAGAAACAATCCCTAGAAAAGGTTAAAAAAATCAAAGAAACACTATGAAATAACTATGCATGTCTGAGCATAATAATGCAACTTTGCAACTATTAGTCCATCTACTCTGCAATCCCATATTGAACCATATTGGGTCAATCTGGAATTGTATCTGTTCTTTCAACTGGAGAAATCACTCTTTGATTTTCTTCCTAACGCCAGTTGCTAAAGCAAAATAACTGCTGTGTTCCATTGCAGAAACATCTGCTTTTTAGAAGAGGGCAAACAGATCCCTAAATTTACAATTTGTAAATCAGATTGGGATCCTCCAGGAAGATATCAAAAAAAGATCAGTTGTATATATGATAAATATAATATAATTAATATAATTATAATACTATGCCTAAAATCATAGGATAAGAATAGATAAAAACAGAGACATTGTTAACTTTTTGTTTCAACAATACATGTATTTGGCAGAACACATTTGTATATATAGCCACAACAATAATGCTTAATAAACTAGAAGATAATCCATTTGTAAGGCATCTGTAGATATTTTATGACTGAAAAAAATGAGTCTGAAATGATCTCCTAACTGTTGCAATTTCACCGACCGATATGAAGACTGTTTATTCCTGTTTTTGTTCAGTGCCTTTAGTTTCCTTCAGCATCTCTTGCCAGTTCTTTTCCATCTCTTCTTTGCAGTTCAGGAATGCATCTTCCAATCGCCTCATGGAGTTGGCCAAGTCTGGGTTGGTACGCATAACCACCATATCATATGCCATCCAGGTTGCCTGCACTGCAACAACCCAACCAACAGATATTAGAAATTCAGCAATGTTGGGATGGCAGATGGCAGGAAAATAATTGATATTCAGGGAAACAGTAGTGGGAATGAATGGGTACCAGTTCTAATCCTTGGCTGAGTGTTCCTACAATGTAATAAACTGAGCAGGGTGGGAAGTGATTTTTTCTGTTCACAGAAAAATCTGCAATTTTGGATTTTTTTCCATTACAAAATAGAGTGAAAACTAAACAAAAAATGAAATTTCTCATGAAACGCAATTAAAATTTTTTGAGTCAATCAAAATGTTTTGTTCCAACTTTGATTTTTTTCATTTTACATTATGTCAAATTTAAAACACTGAAATGAAATGTCACTTCAAAATGGAAAATCAAACCATTTTGTTCTGAAAAAGCTGAAACATAATGTTTCAACCTTACCAAAACACTTTTTCAAATTTTCTTTTGAAACAAAATTTCGTTGAAATCGACAGTTTTTACATTTTGCTTTTGATGAATTGGTATTTTTTGACAGAAAAAGTTCAGTTGGAAAATTCTAATTAGCTCTAATAATAGCCAAAGAGCACACTCAGCTCAGTGCTCACAAGTAACCCTGCAGTAACAAATCAGTTTGCACAATCCCATCTTTCCTAATCAGTCCCACAATATCAAGCCAATGTGAACAGCTCCAAGTACCTAGGCAGCCTACACTAACAAACTACTGTTAAGTATCAGAGGGCTAGCTGTGTTAGTCTGTATCCACAAAAACAACGAGGAGTCCGGTGGCACAATAAAGACTAACAAATTTATTTGGACATAAGCTTTTGTGGGTAAAACGCCCACTTCTTTAGATGGATGGAGTGAAAATTACAGATGCAGTATAATAATGCCTGCATCTGTAATTTTCACTCCATCCATCTAAAGAAGTGGGCGTTTTACCCACAAAACCTTATGCCCAAATAAATTTGTTAAACTACTGTTAGCAATCCTCTGATAATCAGTTAAGCATTCACCATTAATACCATAGTAAATCGGTACAAACTGCCCATCACCTCACAAGCAGTCCTACAATGAGAAACAATTCACACCCACCAGTGCTCATGAGCATATCAATAAAACTTTATAGCTACTTTTATACAGACTGTCTCAAAATACTATGGAGTTAAAATGTTGGAACCACTAGCAGCATTTCTACACTAATGTTCCTAGCTACTACTGGTGCTGCAGCAGTAAGAAAATTGAAGGAAACTTCTAGTGTAGACAAGACCTTGGAATCTGGTGCTGATATTCATGTTAACAAATCTGAAATTCACTTTCCACAAATATTCTTTAAAACCCACTTAAAATTTTATGATTCTGTAAACATCCCTTTCAATAAATTCATTCACTGGAATATCTGTAGAAAATGGGCACAATGGATACAAACATATTATGAGCAAATTTGATATAAATGTAAATAATTATTTGCTAAAAGATTTTTTTATTTTATTTTTTGCAGTATTTCTCCAGCTCTAGTAGTTAGTGGAGTTTGAGGACTGGGGGTGGGGAAATGTGTGATCTTGCTTTTTTGTACATGTGAAGGTAAGAAGCAGTATTCTGTGCACACTGAAAAATTAATATATGTGATTTAGGGAAGCTACGCAATAACTAAGAAAATAGCATATGCAGTCCTGTGCTCAGTAACAACCCTGTGATAACAAATCATCATTTGCATAAGTGACTCTATTTACAAACCATGTGACCTTACAATAAAGACACATGCACAGGCATATTGGTGGAGGAAATCACCCCATATTTCACTTTCGAGTATCTTAGATGAGTTGAAAGAGGGACTTTCTGCTGAGACAAGCTCAGCTCTAAGTCTGGTCCTTGATTGGGTGGCACCTCTGCTCATTGGTTATGTCCATTCTAGTGCATGATAAGTAATTTAACACTTAAACTACTAGCATTTTCCAGAATTGACAATGTAAGCATAGATGAGCACTTTATCTATGATGAGTGGCTAAGATGCTTTAGCTTGCATTGTTTGAAGAGGAGAAGGCTACAGGGAAATCGTAGAAGGGAATCATAAAAATGTGTGGAAAGATTTATCTAAACCCCTTCCCATTATGCATACAAAATTGAGATTAAATTCATCTTTTATTTTCCCAGTTGGATAATTAATGTTTGTCATTCTCTGATCCTGGAGGTACCAGTTCTTCCAACGTTTTTCCAAACTGAATCTATGTTTATGTTCTAATTATGTTTTTAAGCTCTGTAAATTCCTGTGTATTATTTTCTGCTCTCACTACCGACTCCTCCCACTTTAGTATTATCTTTGAATTTCATTTATGAGCTGAGCTCAGAAATGCCTTCCAGATTACTAATTATGTTAAATATGACCAGTCTGTTTCTGCAGCCATTTATACCACTGTCTGTAGTAACTAAGGATTTCACGTACTGATGTTCTCCACCAGACACATCCCTCAGTTTAATACATTGTGGTCATTAGTCGAACTCAATCTCATTAACAGATTAGTAGATCTCAATCTTTCTCCTCTTATATTTCTGCTACACAGAGAAGTTTGAAGTCTACTCTCCTCTACTCTTGCATGTTTACTATTATTATTTCTATGCACTGCTGTAATGCCTTCATCCTCTAGCAGCAAATCTATATCCTCCCCAGAAAAAAGCCACACCTGATAGTTTCTCCATTTCTTCCAGAAGTTTTTCTAAATCCCTGTTCAGGTCCTCCAGCATTTTTACCATGTTGTCATAGTTTCTTTCCCGAGGTTCAGATTTGGCCATCTACAGGAAAAGCAAGAGTGGGTCAATTAGGAGGAGTGGGGAGTAAAGAAATAAAACTTTTTCATAATAAGGGGAAAGTAACATTTTAAATTGTATCTCTAATAAGATATGTAAAATTAAATACATTAATATCCTAGATTCACTTGCTAAATTCATTTAGAGCCTGGATGCTGTGTGGCTCTTGTGTGTTGCCTAGCACTTTCAATTCACTTTCAAATCAATAGAAGTTTTGGACACAAAGATCAACAGCCTGCCGGCTCAAGCCCATGCTCTTTGTGAACTTTATAGGTCACTGTACTAAATCAGACCATTAGCAGATCGTTTCTAATCTTCTGCTATCCTGGACTGGTTCTTCATCCACCTGCTTTGGCAGTTCCCAATACCTGATGCTTCACTGAAAGATGTAAAATCTCCCCCAATAAACTAAAACCAAATTTGAGTGTCAAAAGTTAGGCACTTATATACCATATCTGGGCACCAACATAAATAGCCTGATTTTTAGAGATGCTGAGCCTCCACAATTCACTGACCTTAGCAGAAGCTGTAGGAGCTCAACACCTGAAAATCGGGTGACTTGTTTAGGTGCTGAAATACAGATCTAGATACCTAACTTCAGGCAATCAGGTTCCAAAATGTTGGTACTAGCCAATTGTGACCCCAGGGACTATTGTGAAAAGTTCTAGGGGGGGAGCAGGTGAGCCCAAAACATTGAACTAATTATATGTAGCTCTGATGTTAAGAGTTGTGTGTTTTGGTGGTGGGGGGTTTTTTTTCTGGTAATTTCTGAGTTACATTTGGTGGGCATATTTTTCTAGCTTCTATTTTGAATAAATATTGTCAATAAGGAAGACAATTTTCCCCATGAGATTTAAAAGCGTTTTAAGGAAAAGGTAAGATTTCCAGCCTAAACCCAGACACCCTGATGCTTAAGGCAGCCAGGCCACCACATGCAAATTTCATGAGGAAGCCTGGATATTGAGAGATTCTTTGTCTCAAAGTCCTGCTTGTAACAGAACACACACCCTCTTGTCTGTTCCACAATACGAGGTGCTGTTTGCATTCATTCACCGTCTTACACCACTTTTAAGACACAGGAAGCTGTAAAGCATTGGGCCCCAATCCTGCAAAGGGAGCCAGACCCTGGTGTTTGAGCAGAGCACCCCTGACATAGAGCCATAGAATATCAGGGTTAGAAGGGACCTCAGGAGGTCATCTAGTCCAACCCCTTGCTCAAAGCAGGACCAATCCCCAACTAAATCATCCCAGCCAGGGCTTCATCAAGCCTGACCTTAAAAACCTCTAAGGAAGGAGATTCCACCACCTCCCTAGGTAACCCATTCCAGTGCTTCACCACCCTCCTCGTGAAATATCCAACCTAAACCTCCCCCACTGCAACTTGAGACCATTACTCCTTGTCCTGTCATCTGGTACCACTGAGAACAGTCTAGATCCATCCTCTTTGGAACCCCCTTTCAGGTAGTTGAAAGCAGCTATCAAATCCCCCCTCATTCTTCTCTTCTGCAGACTAAACAATCCCAGTTCCCTCAGCCTCTCCTCATAAGTCATGTGCTCCAGCCCCCTAGTCATTTTTGTTACCCTCTGCTGGACTCTTTCTAATTTTTCCACATCCTTCTTGTAGTGCGGGGCCCAAAACAGGACTCAGTACTCCAGCTGAGACCTCACCAATGTCAAACAGAGGTGAATGATCACGTCCCTCGATTGGCTGGCAATGCCCCTACTTATACAGCCCAAAATGCCATTAGCCTTCTTGGCAACAAGGGCACACTGTTGACTCATATCCAGCTTCTGGTCCACTGTAACCCCTGGGTCCTTTTCTGCAGAACTGCTGCCTATCCATTCGGTCCCTAGTCTGTAGCAGTGCATGGGATTCTTCCGTCCTAAGTGCACTTGTCCTTGTTGAACGTCATCAGATTTCTTTTGGCCCAATCCTCTAATTTGTCTAGGTCCCTCTGTATCCTATCCCTACCCTCCAGCGTATCTACCATTCCTCCCAGTTTAGTGTCATCTGCAAATTTACTGAGGGTGCAGTCCACACCATCCTCCAGATCATTAATGAAGATGCTGAACAAAACTGGCCCCAGGACCGACCCCTGGGGTCAGGGCCGGCTTTAGCAGGTGCAGGGCCCCACACTGGGACGCAAATTGTCTTGCGCCCTCCCCCGCCCCATTGGATCCCTCCCCAAATCTCCACCCTGGCCCCGCCTCTTCCCCAATCACGCCGCATTCCTCCTCCTCCTCCCTCCCTCCCAAGCTTGCGCTGACCAGCTGTATGGTGGCGCAAGCGCTGGAGGGAGGGGGGAGAAACAGGACGCAGCTTTTTCTTTTTTCTGCTCCGCCGGCAGCCCCGGACGTTGCGGGGCCCTCTTAGGCGCGGGGCCCTATTCTGGGGAATCGGCCGAATCGGCTTAAAGCCGGCCCTGCCTGGGGCACTCCGCTTCATCCCGGCTGCCAACTAGACATGGAGCCACTGATCACTACCCGTTGAGCCCAACGATCGAGCCAGCTTTCTATCCACCTTATACTCCATTCATCCAGCCCATACTTCTTTAACTTTAACTGTGGGAGACCATATCAAAACTTTGCTAAAGTCAAGGAATAACATCCACTGCTTTCCCCTCATCCACAGAGCCAGTTATCTCACATCACACACATGTGCAGTACCACAGGGGACGGATCTTTAAGGTCAAATTGGCAACAGGGGGACACAATTCTTTATTTATCCACAGATGTACAGAGCTCATCCAGAAAAGGGACAATACCTTGGGCGTCACCTTCAGCCGCCGCCCCCAGCAGCTCTTTAGCCCCACCCGCAGCTCTGTGCCCAGGGCAGGGTCTCTGCGGAGCTCCCCGCTCTGTCCCCGCAACGGGGGGGGGGGTCCCGCTAACCCTCTGCCCCAGGCTCTGCCCGGGGCATGGGGCTCATTGATCCTAAACACCCGCCGCCCGCGTCCCTGCCCCCGAAGACAGAGCTCCCCCCGCCGGTCCCTATCACCCCTCCCCGGCAGATTCTCCGGCTGGCTCCGCTACTCTGCCCCGGGAGCGCCGCCTCCGCCTGCAGCGAGGTGTTTTATAGCCCAGTTTAAACGGCCGCGAGCGCCTCACCCTCCCTCTTTCCCGCCCAAACCAACTGTCTTCTTCACCCCTCCCCCTCGCGGAGCGCGCGCTGCTCAGACCAATGCGGCTTCTCCGCGCGCCCCAGAAAAGCAGCTTTGTGCCAACTCGCGCGCCTGTCCCCAGCCCACTCCACGCGCTTTCTGCCGTGTCACGTGTCTGGTGCCTCGAACTGAGGAAAAGGAAAAGAAAACAGGTGGGCGAGAGCGGGAAACTAAAAACTGATGTTCCCTATTCATCGTCTTCTCTCAAATCGGTCTCCTCACATTCTCCGTCGCACAATAAAATGTACGTTTCACAGTTTAGAGGGAATGAAAAACAGGATCGGGAGGGGAAATGCTGGGACGCTGGGTTAATAACTAGAGCGTTGAGGCGCATTAAATCGGGCTGGGGTTTGCGCTGGCTTGACACTCATGTGCCACATTAATTTAAACTAAAAGTTTATTTTTCTCTTTAATATCTAGTTAGCTGGACCTGACAGGCAAGACCCCGACCCCCCCCCCACCCCAAAGGGGTAGATGGAAGCAGTCTCCCACGAAGGATTGTACATGTGTTTTTTACACTGAGGCCTGGTCTACACTAACCCCCCAAGTCTAAGTAAGGTACGCAACTTCAGCTACGTGAATAACGTAGCTGAAGTCGACATACCTTACTTCGAACTTACCGCGGTTCAGACGCGGTCCACACACGGCAGGCAGGCTCCCCCGTCGACTCCGCGGTACTCCTCTCGTTGAGCTGGAGTACCGCAGTCGACGGCGAGCACTTCCTGGTTCGATTTATCGCGTCCAGACCAGACGCAATAAATCGAACCCGGAACTTCGATTGCTAGCCGTCGAACTACCCGGTAAGTATAGACCAGCCCTGAGAGACTCAGGAGCTATAAAAACGTTCCCTGGTCCGTCACACCGCACCATATCAGTCCCTTGGCCCATCTCATCTCAGTAGCAATCCATCCTTTCATCTACTGCAGTGTCATACCTCATGCCCCATACGAGGCTATCAAGCCACTGGTGCATTTAGTGTGGCATCTGACTTTGCTGTATCAGATCAAACCATTGGTCTATTTGGTACTTCTTGCCATGCTGTATCTACCAAACTATTAATCCAGATAAGCTTGTGTCCTGACTCTTGCTATACCACATGATCAAATCGCTGGTCCATTTAGTTGTCTCTCACCTTCTACTTATCATTGGAAACAGTTGGGAAACTGAAAAGCCTGAGATGTTCCTCTTCTCTGACACCACATTTCTTGTTTATGGCTCCCATTCTACACACATGCCTGGTTTCCTGCTCCATTTAAAAACAAGTGACACTGAATAATTTTAGCAACAGAGGGTCCTGTGGCACCTTTAAGACTAACAGAAGTATTGGGAGCATAAGCTTTCGTGGGTAAGAACCTCACTTCTTCAGATGCAAGAAGTCTTACACACCTCAAGCTTAGGTGTGAGTTAGGCATCAAGCAGCTTGGCAGTGTCAAGACTTAGGTGACTATGTGCATGCCCAGTGCCAGAAATTTAGGCACCTATTTAGGGGAATTTACGAAATTTAGGTGCCTACAGGGTTAGGTGGCACCTGCACAGTGGTTTTGTGAATATCAGTGATGCCTAAATGTTAGACATAGGCGCCTAAGTCCTGCTTGTGAACCTAGCCCATATTATCTTACCTAAAGCTTAGCCTTTCCTTGCAAGTTTAGGTAATTTCCACTTGACCTAGGCACCCCAGGACTGGGGGTGGGTGATATAGTGTGCACCCCCCCACAATCTCTGCCTCTGTCTCATACGGCTGTAACTGGTGCAGGGCGAGCAGGGCAGCCACCCAGGTCACAAAACTGGCAGGGATCAAAAAATGGGGTGGCGCAGGATCGGGCCCAGCAGTGTCACCTCCCCCACCCCGCCCCACAGACACTGCAGGATTGGGCCCAGTGACATCAGCCGGAGCAGAGGCTGCTCAGTCTTCCCTCCCCTCCCCCCCGGGATCGGGCCCAGCAGCGTCGGCTGGAGCCCAGGGGCTCAGGGACTCTCCTCCCCGCAGGATCGCAGGCCCAGTGACTCTGGCTGGAGCAGGGTCTCCCCGGGGTACTAGGATTATAGTGGTGGCAGCAGGCAGGCAGGGCGCTGAGTGCCTCCAGCTCCCTGCCCTGGGAAGGGGGAAAAGCCCGCAGGGAGGTGTTGACTGATGGGCTGGCGCTGCGTTCTGGGTCTGTACCAGTCACCCTGCCACCGTGAGAGGGAGAGTAACACTGCCTCCCACCTCCAGTGGGTACCCCCGCTGCAGGTACCTCCTTCAGTATCCACCAAATACCTCCTCCCAGTACATACACACCCTTCCAGCACCCCAAATACTCCCTCCAGTACCCCCCAAATACTCCCTCCCAGTACAAACATACCCCTCCAGCACCCCCCAAATACCTCCTCCAGCACTCTCCAACCTTAACCCCCCCAATTCCTCCTCTCTCCGGCAGTGTCCTCCTCTATTTGGCAACTTGAATTGTGGTAATCCTAGGGATCACTCCATTCTCAAGGCCTTGGTTTCTGGAGCTGGTGGGAGCGAGTCTGTTCTGTCAGCAGCAGCTGCCTGCCTCCAGCGCCTAGGCTGGGCATTGGGCTCGCATGGCCAAGCTCAGAGCTCAGGCTGTGTAACTGCAAGCCCGGCTGCCACGGATCAAGGGGTGGTTCCACTCTGCACGCAGGGAGTGTGGGGAGAGTGACCTGGCTGCAATGGCAGGTCCCCGGGCAGTAAGCGGAGTGTGACCAGGCTGCTGAGAAGCAGGTGCCCAAGGGAGCTGAGTCATTCAGGGAGCACCTCGGGGAGTATCTCAAGGCAGCCAGGCTCCATAGGCAGGGGCCGGCTCCCGGGGGCATAGCTGGTCAATGCTGGGCTCCTTCAGGACAGAGGCAAGAATGTGTGAGGGGTGCAGCTCAGAGCTGTGCCACCCGCCCTGCCTGGGGAGTGCCAGCCATGCAGTGGCGGCCTGACTTGGGGAGCAGGGCAGGGAGGGCTGCCGGGCAGTCAGCCACCACCCTGCTCCCACAGCGCAGAGAGCCAGGGGCCTGAGCAGGCTGGATGGTTTCCACAAGCTCCAGTCTCCCAGCTCCTTGCAGGTGGCGATGGTTTTCAAAGTGTAGGGAGCATCCCCCTAGGGATGTGCACCTCACAGTTTGAAAACCTCTCTGCTAACAGGAAGAAAGAAATCCTGGGGAAGGGGGTTGTAACTCCATTTGACCTCTACACATCACCTCTAGGGGTCACAAATATGCTTGCTCCCCCGAGTGCTAAAATGCTTAGTTACGGCTCTGCTGTCTCAGTCTAACTCTCAGGGTATGTCTACACTACGAAATTAGGTCGAATTTATAGAAGACGTTTTTTTAGAAATCGTTTTTATACAGTCGATTGTGTGTGTCCCCACACAAAATGCTCTAAGTGCATTAACTCGGCGGACTGCATCCACAGTACCGAGGCTAGTGTCGACTTCCGGAGCATTGCACTGTGGGTAGCTATCCCACAGTTCCTGCAGTTTCCGCCGCCCATTGGAATTCTGGGTTGAGATCCCAATGCCTGATGAGGCAAAAACAGTGTCACGGGGGATTCTGGGTATATGTCGTCAGGTCCCGTCCCCCCGTGAGAGCAACGGCCTTTTTTCCTGGGTTACACGTGCAGACGACATACCACGGCAAGCATGGAGCCCGCTCAGCTCAGCTCTCCGTCACCATATGTCATCTGGGTGCCGGCAGACGTGGGACTGCATTGCTACACAGCAGCAGCTAATTGCCTTTTGGCAGTAGACGGTGCAGTATGACTGGTAGCCATCATTGGCATTTGCTGTGATCCAAGTAGCCAACACAATCAAAGATCTGCTGGTATCAAGGGTAGTGACTCTGGGAAACGTGCAGGTCATAGTGGATGGCTTTGCTGCAATGGGATTCCCTAACTGTGGTGGGGCGATAGACGGAACCCATATCCCTGTCTTGGCACCGGAGCACCAAGCCAGCGAGTACATAAACCGAAAAGGGTACTTTTCAATGCTGCTGCAAACACTGGTGGACCACAAGGGACATTTCACTAATATCAATGTCGGATGGCCGGGAAAGGTACATGATGCTCGCGTCTTCAGGAACTCTGGTATGTTTCAAAAGCTGCAGGAAGGGACTTTCTTCCCAGACCAGAAAATAACCGTTGGGGATGTTGAAATGCCTATAGTTATCCTTGGGGACCCAGCCTACCCCTTAATGCCATGGCTCATGAAGCCGTACACAGGCAGCCTGGACAGTAGTCAGGACCTGTTCAACTATAGGCTGAGCAAGTGCCGAATGGTGGTAGAATGTGCATTTGGATGTTTAAAAGCGTGCTGGCGCAGTTTACTGACTCGGATAGACCTCAGCGAAACCGATATTCCCATTGTTATTACTGCTTGCTGTGCGCTCCACAATATCTGTGAGAGTAAGGGGGAGACATTTATGGCGGGGTGGGAGGCTGAGGCAAATTGCCTTGCCACTAATTACGCGCAGCCAGACACCAGGGCGGTTAGCAGAGTACAGGAGTGCGCGGTGCGCATCAGAGAAGCTTTGAAAACCAGTTTTGTGACTGGCCAGGCTACGGTGTGAAACTTCTGTTTGTTTCTCCTTGATGAATCCCCCCCCACCCGGTTCACTCTACTTCCCTGTAAGCTAACCACCCTCCCCTCCCACCTTCGATCACCGCTTGCAGAG